GGGGGAATCCCCCCATCTCCCCACCCTCTGATTACGTATCATAATGTAATTACGTGTAAACGTTATTTGGTGGTTTTTACTTGGAAAACCAGCTATATTTTTCTTGCATTCGAATAATGGATAAACTTGAAACGATAGAAGAAGGATTGGAGATGAATTTCATTTACAAATAAGGTAGGAAATGTGCATACTTTTAACTCGACACCTGCCACGGTTTTTCTTAGCTATTTGTCATCTGTGATCCCTTTTGAGTGTCCTAAAATATTCCATTCTGAACACAGTCCTTAATTAACACCATTCCCTGTTCTTTATTCCTATAGGAAGTCCAGTGGGAACTCCTCTTCCAGCCTGGGTGAGATGGTGTCAGGCACCTTCAAGCCCAACCCTGCTTCTGCAGGTCAGCTTCATTCTTCAGACTTAGTGAAGGGTTCCAGTTCACTTCTAATTTATAGGCTGGTTTTATAAAATGTTCACATAAATTAAGGAATGAATGGACATTTTCCAGTAGCAACTGAGGGAAAAACTTGTCTGTCCTTTTTAAGGCTGTTATTGCAAGATATGAAGTGTCAAAATTGTTATTACCTCTTGACACAAAACAAATATGGCTGAGAAACACAATCTGTAGAAGCTGCGTTGCCCAGTGACATTTAGTATAATATTAAAAAGCATACAGGCCTAGGTGTTAGGCACTGAAAATTTCTGAATTTTATTTTATTTAATTTTAAATAGAGAAAAGATGCATCTGATTTTGATGTATTGTTTTTGTGGCTTGTTTTAATCTACTTTTTAAAATTCCTCTTTTCCATCATCACAGGTAAACAGAAACAGAAAGTGGTGAGTTAACTGTATTTTATTTGTCAGTTCTATATATTCTATAAAATAGCCCTACTATTGTAATAAACTGCAGTTTCGAACTATTGCAGTGTTCATGGGGCTATTGCAAATAAACAGCATATTGTTTCACATCTAAATCGCTGTTATATTGCAGGCCGAGCACATTCCTCCATACGATGTGGTCCCATCCATGAGGCCGGTGGTCTTAGTTGGGCCATCACTTAAGGGATATGAGGTAGGCCTCCCCCAATCCCTATGGTGTATGCATGTGTATATTTAGACATGGTAACCAGGGCATCACTTCTTAAGCAGCAAGCGAGAGGGGATGTCGGTTTGTCACTGAATAGCAGTCATCATCTCCAAGCAGAGTTGCCAAGGCAACAACCTTCTGGGTACAACATGCCAGTCTCAAAAATGGAGCATGGTTCGAAATTAGAAACGGGGGAAAAAAACATAACCACCATCCCTGAAATCAGCGTGACAAGTGTGTTAGCATGAACCATCTGAATATTAGACTAAATGTCTAGTCATGCATCTTGGAGAGCATATCATGATTGATTTGTGAAAGATAAACAGCTGTGTTTGATCATTTCAGCTCATTATTCAAGAATATATGTCATCTGCTCTGTTACAAAAATTATTTAAAAGATTAGTTCTCCCAAGATGAGTTTGTTTCTTCATCAGAACAGATTTGGAGAAATTTGGCATTACATCACTTGCTTACCAGTGGATCCTCTGTAGTGAATGGGTGCCGTCAGAATGAGAGTCCGAACAGCTGATAAAAGCATCACAATAATGCACAAGTAATCCACCTAACTCCAGTTCATCAATTAATGTCTTGTTAAGCGAACATCTGCATATTTGTAATAAACAAATCCATCAAGATCCATTTTTTTTCTTCAAAACATTGCTTACAGCTAAAATATGAATCCTCTATCTATAATATTGCTTTCTCCAGTGAAAAGTCGTCTTGTCTGAATCAAGTGAGAAATAGGCACAGATCCATCACCGTTTGCAAGCGAAAACAGTCCAAAACAGTTCTTAACATTGTGATTTTGATGTGAGAGGACAACAGGAGGAAGCGTTATTATTATGGATTATGGGCTATATTTTGTGTGCCTTATTGATGGATTTGTTTCTTACAAACATGCAGCATTTTACTTCACAAGATGTTAACTGATGGACTGGAGTGGTGTGGATTCCTTGTTGAATATTATGATGTTTTTTTCAGCTGTTTGGACTCTAATTCTGGCGGCACCCATTCACTGCAGAGGATCCATTGTTGAGCAAGTGAGGTAATGCTACATTTCTCCAATTCTGTTCCGATGAAGAAACAAACTCATCTGCATCTTGAATGGTATGGAATGAGTAAACCAAATTTTCTGGGTGAACTACTTTAAGACAGACTGCACTTATTTGTTATTTCCTGACTGGATGCTGTTTAAGTAAAGTAGATATATTCCTCAGTTTTTCCAATGAATCTTTCAAATAAAAATCTCCTTTTTGCTCATAATTGTGTTTACTCTCCTCTCCCCATGGGTTTGAACACAGGTGACAGATATGATGCAGAAAGCACTCTTTGACTTCCTGAAACACAGGTTTGAAGGCAGGTGAGGGACAGCTTTTAATCTGTTGTGGATTTGAAATAATTTTACTGTACATGTGGTAGATTTCACTACATTCATTTCCTAATTCCAGGATATCAATCACAAGAGTAACCGCAGACATCTCTTTGGCCAAAAGATCTGTGCTGAATAACCCTAGTAAGAGAGCTATCATTGAGAGATCCAACACCAGATCCAACCTGGGTATGTCAGCTAATATTTATTTTGAACTGAATTCAAGTTAATTAATTAATGTTGGACATGTTTACTGCTTCTAAATCAGCATGTTGACATCATGCTGAATGGTTCCTCTTTCTGACAGCGGAGGTTCAGAGTGAGATCGAGCGAATCTTTGAATTGGCCAGATCCCTTCAGCTGGTTGTGCTGGATGCCGACACGATCAACCATCCAGCCCAGCTCATCAAGACATCTTTAGCTCCCATTACTGTCCATGTCAAAGTGTCTTCTCCTAAGGTAACAAGGTTACAGTCCTTTATTAACAATGTATTATGTAACAATGTATTAACAATATCTGTTAGTTAAATGATGTTAAATTGTCAATAGTTATTGCATGTGCGTGCTTACAGGTATTGCAACGGCTGATCAAATCACGAGGGAAGTCTCAAAGCAAGCATTTAAATGTACAACTGGTGGCAGCAGACAAATTAGCTCAGTGTCCTCCAGTGAGTATCCAGAATAACATAACAGACCGATTCTTCTGTTTTAAAGTGTTTGCAACCCATTTTACTCTCATAATCTGAAATACACTATCCCTCAGCAGTTTGGGGTCAGTAAGATGCTTTTGAAAGAAGTCTTTTATGCTCTCCAAGGCTGATATTATTTGATTAAAAGAACTGTAAAAACAGTAATATTGTGAAATAGTATTACAATTTAAAATAACTTTTCTATTTGAATATATTTTAAAATGTAATTTATTTCTGTGATGGTAAAGCTGAATTTTCAGCAGACATTACTCCAGTCTTTAGTCACGTGATCCTTCAGAAATCATTCTAATATGCTGATTTGCTGGTCATGAAACTTTTCTTATTATCAATGTTGAAAACAGTTGTGCTGCTTAGTACTTTTTGTGGTGGAAGCATCTTTTTTTTCAGGATTCTTTGATAAATATAAAGTTAAAATTAACAGCATTTATTTGAAATAGAAATATTTTGTAATTTTATAAATATCTTCATTGATCAATTTAATGTGTCCTTGCTGAATAAAGGTATTCTTTCAAAAAACAAACAAAAAGACTCCAGACTTTTTGTCAGACTCAGAGTAACACAGGATATTCAGTAAAACAAAAATGTGATTTTTATTAATCGAGGTTGGATTGGGCTGTAAAAAGTTATGTCAAAATAGAGCGAGGTGGTTGAATGGAAGACATTGAAAATAAAGGATGTGACATAAAAAACACTGACTACAATGCTGTTCCTGCCCTGTTCCAGGAAATGTTTGACATAATTTTGGATGAGAACCAGCTCGAGGATGCATGTGAACATCTGGCTGAGTATATGGAGGCATATTGGCGTGCAACTCACACTTCCCTCAGCACTCCTCTGAACTCTCTGCTGGGCCGCAACCTGGGATCCACTGTGCTCTCACCATACCCCACAGCCGTCTCTGGACTACAGGTGAGTGGAGACTTGGGACTCAGTTTTAAATATTCCAAAATATGTTGATTAAAATGTGTGGAAACTCCTTGCTAAGCTCCGCCCCCTTGGTTACTGTTGCCATCACAAGCTTTATAGAACGTACCATAGGAATGAATTGGAGATTTCAGAGATTACTTGAGATTTGCATTAAATTTCAGGAACAAAAAATGCTCATAGAATGGTATAAATTAAGTAAATTGAAATATTAGGTTACACTTTATTTTAAGGTGTCCTTGTTACAGTGTAATTATACATATAAGTACTGAGTAATATTAATTAACTACATGTACTTACTATATGGTTAAGGTAAGGATTGGTTTGGCTTAGGGTATCTTGCATGTAATAATACATAATTTAATTGTTATTATAATAGTAAGTACATGTAACATGTGTAACAAGGACACCTTAAAATAAAGTGTTACCAAATATTATGTTTATGCGTGCTTGAATTAAGTTTTTTTTTTTTTACCTAATTTTTTTCTACAGAAATTGTTAACTTACTGTATGTAGTAACATGATTGAAAGTAAATGCCTAATACGGTGTGGATTTATTTTGAATTGTACTATATTGGTTTCGCTGCTAATATCGGTAACCTTTCAACAGAGCCAAAGAAATAAAAACAGCAATCATATCAGTGACAACTCTCCAATGGAGCGGCGCAGCTTGATGACCTCCGATGAGAACTACCACAACAACGAGCGGCAAAAGAAGAGTCATAACCGCCTGTCCTCCAGCTCCCAGCAAAGTCGAGACCACTACCCTCTGGTAGAGGAGGACTACCATGATCCCTATCAAGACGCGTACAAACCTCACCGCAACCAGGGCTCCCCTGGGGGCTACAGTAACGAATCACGGCACATACTCTGAACGTCCAAACCACTACAGCCAGAGCTATGAGATAAACCTCATGTAATTGTGTAAACCCTTTCTGTAAATGCAGTGCATTGCGTTCACTCTGACACAGGTCCCCATCTATGGGCCATTTTAACTAAAAGCAAAATCCGAGCACCCGTTCCGTCTATGTAAGGCAGTTGTTTGCAGCCCTTGCGCATCTCTTGTCAGGCAGTTGGAGGTGCTGATTTTATCTGCAATGGTTGAGTTAAGATGCTCTCCTGGAGGAGTGACAGCTATAGTACCATCTGGTCCATCCAAGTTCTCCTAGTAGAGGCCTAAGCCCTGCGTCTAATTGCTAACCAAAGCCCTGCACTGTCTATATTTGCAGGACGTTTCTTGGTGTCATGCTAATTTTCACCCTGAACTAGTGCCGGCATGCAGAAATGCTCAACAGTGCCAAGAGCCAATCAGCACAGAGCCTTTTTGCAAGATTTCAGTAGCCAATGGAATGCATTTGCTGTTTTGTTTCTTCCTATCTTAGTATTTTATATGGTCTCTTCTTTTCCCCAAGCAGCCTCAGGTACGAAGCAGGAATTCTTCATAGGTGCCAAACTCCAAGAGGTTTCTTTTCCCGCTGTCTATTTTCGTAATGATATCTGCAGATAGTATCAACACACTCTTCTGAGCAAAACACAAAAGATAGCAACAAATTATCCCTTTTTACATACACCATAATGCCTAGTTCAACTCAGCGCTTTGCCCAGGCCTACAAGTGGGATGTTGTTGCAAAAAAGTATGCCAGAGTACCAGTATCAGGTAGATTTTATCATTTTAAATTACTTTATTACTTGGTTGTAATAGTAAAAGAACAAATCTCATGAAACCTTACAAGATTTCCAGATTATGGAAATCATCTAGAAAGAAATCATCTAAATTTAAAAATAAATATAAGTATAAACAATATTAATACAATGAAGTGTGTTTTAGGACCATCAAAACTTGCATTGTGACATTTTTTCATGAAAATGAAGCTCATGATTTTGTAAAAACAGATTTTTTTGTTTGCATTGTAAAGAATTATGCATCATGATAGTATTTGTTGTATTGCCTTTCATTTCAAAATAATGGTTAAAAAAAATACTATACATATTATGGTAATGAATAAGAATTTGAGAGTAAAATGTGCTTAATTATCATTCAAATATTATAATACATTTTTTCTTTATGCTATATATAGGGTTTTATTTATTTATTTATTTTTGGTGAAATGTGGCCTGAGCATGTTTTCTCAGATTCTCAGGGGTTTTGTTGAGCTCATATCACACTCTTGTTTTCTGACTGAAACAGCACAGTAGCCTGTGTCATTAAAATATGTGGCAGCTTTTACTCAACACCATTTTCAACTAAAAATGGAAAATGTTTTGGTAACACTTTATTTTAAGGTGGCCTTGTTACACATGTTACATGTACTTACTATTACAATAACAATTAATTATGCATAAGTACATGCAAGTAACCCTAAGCCAAACACTAATCCTAACCCTAACCATATAGTAAGTACATGTTGTTAATTAATATTACTCAGTACTTGAATGTATAATTACACTGTAACAAAGACACCTTAAAATAAAGTGTAACCAATGTTTTAAGCGTTTTGGCCATTCGTTTACATGACAATGGCCTTTTGGGGGCCTGTAAACGCAAACTTTTGAAATCAAAGTGCAAGTTTTTGAAAACGATACCATTATCGCCTCTGTGTAAACTACACAAATTTGTGATAACGGTGATGCGCAAGCATATTACGTGTTTGCGTAGAGTTTCTTTACAAAGTGACATTGCCAACTACTGTCCTGGCATGAATAATACAGCGTTTTAGTATCAATGTGAGCGGGGATCGTTTTGATAATGTTGTCATCTATACGCGAAACATTTCAAAAATGCGAAGAAAAAACTTTTATGTTTTTAGTACATTGTTGTCGTGTAAACGTACCCAGAGTCAGGTCTGTGGATCACCATAAAGTTTCTCTGTTCTATTAAGCTTTATGAAACAAGTCATCGATTATTACGACTGCTACTAGTCTTGAACTATTTAGTGCGTGCCTGACCTATAGTATAGTTACTGGTTGCCATAGCAGGTACACTTAGTATTGGAATTCAAATTAGACTTTAGACTAAGATACAACATAAAAACTATAAAAGGAAATGCTTTTTTTATTGTTTGTTTTGCTTGATAGCTTTATCTGTAAAAAAATGTCTTTAGTTGTTTTCATCAGGCCTGTTTGCAAAAGCTGTTCACACACACTGAAGTGCTCAGATGAACAAATCAGGTGTCATTCCTGCCTTCGCATGTGCAAAACTACTTGGTTTTGTGATTTTGACAAAAAACATCAGATTTTGTTTTCTAGTGTATTAGATATGTCTCCATCTCATTTTCATTTATTCAATGAAAAATGCTAAATATGTTTCATAAACAGCTCCAGACAATGCTTGTAATTGATGTTAGCACAGTTATTTAAATGTTGTCTGGATCTTGACATTTGCATTTTTCTCGACTCGTTTCTTGGTACTGCAAATCACAACAGTTCTGCAATCTGATTTGATTACCTTAATTGTGTTGTGTTGTACAGTGTTTCCTCTCACAGAGATCGCTGTGTGTTTGTAATGCTCAGAGAGAGAACAAAAGCAGTGTCGAATCAGTTTTATACTTTCTGTGTTGCAAAAAGCATTTGGTCCATATCCTTCAGTGGCTTCATATAGTTGAGGTTGAATCATATCTGAGTGTTAATACTATATGTTTGGTGTGGAAATGATTCGATTTATTCTGTTTCCATTCTGCTGTAAGTTCTACATGTGAGCAGTTCTGAAGAGGTAGCTTTAGTAATAAACTACTGGATTTGCCGTGTGCAGAACCAGTAGGAAAGAAACTCTGTCTGTTCATACTAGGCTATTTTCAGTATAAACAATTCGTAGCATTAGAAAGCATTCAGTAAACGTTTTTTTTTAAGTTTCTTGCTGCAGTTGAGGGGCCAGTAGAAGTCGATGTAGTTTGGGTAAAGTGTCCTTATTCCCTGATCACTGCCACTCCCGTTTCTCCTGCCCACGCCATTATCCATGTGCAATATTTCATAAACTATAAAAGAAAAAAACATAATATTCTGTTGTCTTGTTTAAAGCAGGTTCAGTAACATTCTCAGAAGCATATAGAATGTGAGGATTCACACTATAAATGTATAAAGAGCTAATTAGGAACCAGTTGACAGTATTGTTCTGAAATAATATTCATGATTATTATTACTATTGACTATTAAAAACACTTTTAGCATTTTTAGAAGTTAATCTAGACATTAGTTAGTGTCCTTATGAAACCTTCTATTTGTGGACATCCTCAATGTAACTAATAGTTTATATATATATATATACATTTTCCCCCAGATTTTGGTGTGTGTTCCATAACATACATCTCAAGGTCCTTTGGTCACTTTTGGTGTCAGTACTGTAGCCAACACTCAGGACCACCATTGCTGTTATTATTATTAGTATTATTATTAATTACTCATATTACTATTTTTTTCAATTTCAGTCAACACATTCCCTGCCAGTAACTTTATGCCTTAACTTTTTAATAAGGTACGTTTTATTTATTTTTTTCAACTTTTGCAAACAGAAGGTTTCTTTCGATGCCTCTTTTTAAGAGCTCTGTGAACTTAATTCATTTAAAGGTGTGTTAAGCATTTTCATCCTATATTTAGATTGTTTGTGGGAAATTGTCAACAACTCATCAGAATTCATTCATTTTGTAAAAAAAACGAACAATGTACTTCCTATATTACACCACTGCCCCGATAAAACCCTTTTCCCCTTCCTTCCTTCCTGAGAATAATAATTCCTCAGTGAAAGTTCTGTTTCATGCAATGGCATGTTGGTAAAGGACGATGAGAAATTAATCCAAAATAAGTGAAAGTCATTTACTATGCAAATGTGTACAGTGCTGCATGCTAATGCTTTACCTGCCTCTGCAACTTAATGGCTTCAAATGGAGTTCAAATGGGATTGTGGGTATTACTTGTGCAGGACGGTATTTGAGAGAAATGCAAAACTGCATGCATGATATTCCATTTGCATCGTCAGATTAAAGAGACACTATATGGTTTTTGGGAAATATATGTGTAAAATTAAGTTTTCTTTTGTAAAATAAATTTGAATGTAAAAGAGTGCTGTGATGAATTCTGTTTTTGACACTCAACTCTTCAATAGCACATTTTCAGTTGCACAGTAGAATCCGAGACAAAACTCAATCAATATTTATAACAATTCCTATACTGTAATTAGCAGTGACAATCGCTTATTTTCATAATTTAACGGTACAGTTCCATTTATAGCCTCCTCTCTCATGCCTATGAAATTGTAGCTTCTAGTAGCGCCATCTTCTGGCGTAACTGCATTTTTAATTACATTCATTTTCAAGACTATTGACAAAGAAAAACAATTCTCAGCAGACATTGTGATTTTAGTATTTTTAGTAAGTAGTTTTATTTCAGATGCTGTCATTAGTGCAAAAGCGTGAGATACGACATTCTGATATTCATTTTTATGTTGATAACCTGTAATGAAAAATGTTATATTAAATTAGAAAAAGGCAAAATGTAAGTTAATTAATCACTTTGTAATTATGTTTTATTTGTAATTATCATTTTGTATATATGTAGTGAAACTATTCAACCCTTGTTTGAATATATATATACACATTTAGTAAAAGTAGCATAAATAAGTTTACTTTAAGCCTTAAAGCACAATTCTGAAACTCAACTTGCATTCTGATTATAAGTATGAACATTTAACAGTGTGAGGTTAGATTATAAGTTGACTGGTTTTGTCATTCCACCAGGTTCTGGATGAGCTTCTGGCTCTTTTAAGTTGCTGGGCTTGACCATCTTCTCACTCTGGGTCCAGTTCTGTTTCTCCCTCTCCAGAGCTTTCTCCATCTCTGTGTAATAATCCAGGGCTTTCTGCACAGGGTCAATGATGTGTTGCTGTAAAGTCAGAAGTACACTCTTAAAAATAAAGGTGCTTCAAAAGGTTCTTCAAGCGATGCCATAGAAGAACCATTTTTGGTTCCACAAAGAACCATTCAGTCAAAGGTTCTTTAAAGAACCATCTCTTTCTTACCTTTTTGTAAACTGAAGAACCTTATTTCGCCACAAAGAACCTTTTGTGAAACATAAAGGCTCTTCAGATGTTAAAGGTTCTTTATGGAACCATTTAGACAAAAAGGTTCTTCTATGGCATCGTGAAGCACCTTTATTTTTAAGAGTGTAAGAGCTAGAAATGTTTGTTCTGAGAATACCTGGAAAATGAGCCAAAGAATTGCATAAAGGAATATTCATATTTTCAACTGTTGTTCACAATTAAAAGCAACATTAGACAAAAGTAGTGCTCGACCACTTAAAAAAACAAAAATAATTTCAATATTATATCTCTGTATAATCTCAATTATTTCCAGACAGCATGGCAGATCTCAGTTAATCAAACTGCATGAATTAGATTAATTAACATTTCAAGTTCAGTGCTATTTAACATACTCGCATAGAAAAAAATCTAAATCTTAAACTTAATCTCAAAGTTGATTAACTTAAGGCAAGTGAAATTAACTTATTTTTTAAACTGTTATAATTACAGTACCTTAAGACATTACATTTTGTATAGCATGTTTTCTGTAACTGTGTGCTTGGAAATGCAAATGAGGCATATATTTAATATGCACTAACTTGCATACATTTCAAGAACAGAAATCTGAACATCAGATGAAGCCAGGTTCAAAAATTCTTGTTTCATTTTGTTTACATCATAGAGTTAACGTTTTTTTTACAAAGGGGATTTTGTATATCTCTTTTTATCACTCTATAAATCAGACAATACTGACAAACATTCAGGTGGAAAAAAATCCAACATGTTTTTTTGGAATAAAATGTTTTGAATAAAAAGTCAGGCGAATGTTATATGAATAAGGCCCTGTGAAAAACCTTCAGAATATATAATAAAACCGTAAACTTTGGAATATGTAGGAGCTACTGAAGAGTTCAGGCTCACTTTGAGAAAGCAGCCTTCAAATCTTTGCATGGTAACTGAAATCTACAGATGCAAATATATGACGTGTAATAAAATAAACACTTAAATGTGTATTTTGGATGTTTTCTTTCCACTAATCTGAAAGAAGGCATGTTATGGAAGCAAAATTGGCCAAAATCTCAAAACTGACTAGTGCCTGAAAACATAGTGGTTTTGCCTATAGTATCTTGCCTTTACATTTTTTATGTAATGGATTTCCTCAAATTGTTTGAGTTCTCCTAACTTATTCATGTTTAGTGAATGTCACAAAGATTTTCCTCTGGGAACTTCCTCACCTCCAGACAAGGGAACAGATTGGCCAGTTCAGTGAAGAGCGGAAAGAGAACGAATCGAATGAATCCAGTCTGAGAAGACGGTTTAGTCACTTTGTCTCGATCCATGAACGGAGTGACAGGAAGACCCTCCAACTTCTCCATGTCACTCTTTTTTTTGCATTAGATAACATAAAAGCACAAAGTACTGTTGTTTCAAATGAAAATTGTACTCCCAACGTGACACTGGGAGATGTTTGATTATTAAACAAAGTTAGCAATATTTACCTGATTAAAGAACTCCTGCAGCAGACAGTCCAGCCACGGTTCTGCCACATCCATGGGTCTCGCCTCATTGGAGATGTCACTTACTTTAATCATGATCATCATCAACTGTGAAAGAAGCAGCCAGACAGGAAGTGGATCATCGTCAACAATAGCCCTAAAAGCTGAGTGCTTTTAACTGGCCACCATGATGCTAGGGTGAAATGTGTGGTTGTTAGGGTGTTGCTAGGGTCTTCTTGGTTTGATCATTGATTGACCATTATGAATATCACTGTCCTTACCACATCTCTGTGATCTTTGTCGCTGAAGTCAAACACAGGGAGAATGGCTTTGAACTTGTTGAGGATCTCAGTATGTCTGGTCATATCAGTGGCAAGAATACACCTGCAGTGATGAGAAGCTGGTCAGTTTTGACCTAGTTTTTGGTTTGATATGGATATGGTTGTTGAGATGATAGAAGAGTAAATGATATACTTAATTATGCCCTCTCTTATTCTTTTGAATTGCTCTGTCGACAAGTTTCGGAAAATGTTGCTTTCAGTCTGAAAAATAATTAATGTTGGTTTTTCATGCATATAGAAAATGAGCATACTATACATACATACTCCATAGTACAGAATTACACTAAATCTGTCTAAATCTTCTCCTTTGCCGAGATAATCCATCCACCTCACAGGTGAGGCATATCAAGATGCTGATTAGACAGCATGATTATTGCACAGGTGTGCCTTAGGCTGGCCACAATAAAAGGCCACTCTAAAATGTGCAGTTTTATGACACAGCAAAATGCCACAGATGTCGCAAGTTTTGAGGGAGCGTGCAATTGGCATGCTGACTGCAGGAATGTCCACCAGAGCTGTTGCCCGTGAATTGAATGTTAATTTCTCTACCATAAGCTTAAACATTCAAAATATAAAGTTTACTAAAACTTTAGAGCCAAAGTTTTTGACCTTTTCCAAGATTTCAAAAGCTACAGCGCAGTGGTGATTTTCCAGTGGGGAGATGTCATTGTACCTCAAGGCGAGCTCAGTGCGTGCATTAATCTGAAACAGGACATACTTCCATCAGTTTATGCTGTGTACTGAAAAGCAGCAAATCTTGAGACAACAGCTATCCCACCTGGTATGCATTGTTGTAGCCGGTGTGATCTAGATCGTGACAGACGGCTGAGGTTAGCATGATGAGGAGGTCAATACTGTCCATCTCGCTTCTGAGATCTGTTAGCCATATCAGTCCATACATCTGACAAACAGATGAACACAGATATTAGTGGTCAGGACTTTTCCTGTTGGGCCAGTTGATGAAACCCAAAATCATTTTAAAAATACAAATACAAATTCAAAATGTGAATTGTTTATTATTTAATTAATCTATTATATGTATTAACATTTATGAATTTATATATTATAATGTGTTATAAAATTATTTATATATGGTAATATAATGTGCATATATGTGGCCCACAAGGATGGAAGGATGGACAGATGACTGACTTTCAACCTTCACTGACCTTCAAAAACATGAATTACACACACACTATAATTTTCTCTTTCTCTACAACAATGACCCATTGGATAGAGACTTAATGGGACAATTAAAGAAAACAGACAGCTGATTCCAGTAAAATTACAATTAACGTTTGGCAGCAGTGCTATGAGTGAAATGATGGCTGTCTGAGGCATGACATTTATTAATCAAGCAGATGGAGAAGTGGACAATTGGAGTGATTGGAAGAAATCCTGAAGCTGAGGCTACCATCTGAGTGACGCAGAAGCAGTGTTTGAAGTTGTGGAAGGGAATGTTATTGTAGCGTCGGTACACTTCATAAAGGAACTGCTGCAGCACGTCCAGCTCAATGTTGAAGGTGGAGATGAAGTCCAGATCTGTGTACATCACCTGGAGCAGCACCATGATCTCAGCGTCCTCCCATTGCCTACAACAGCACAAAATCTTTATCTTCCTGTTACCCCTTAGAAGGAATCATATCTTGTTGTGTTAATCTGAAGCTAAAGCCTGGTTTCAACAAGTCCACTTGGAAGACTATTGCATTAATGAACACGGAGCTCCAGCCCTTTGCTCTCATAAGAAGTGCTTTTGATTTGCAAACCACAAACAGGGCCATTGATATTAATATGAGGCCCTTCGGGCAGATGAAAGGCATGATCTCCGCCTTGTTCTTTATGCTTAATTTAGAAGTGCTGTGCTTTGCTTCACTAACAATTTCCTATTCATGTATGACAGGTGCAGGACTTTGATGTGGCTGCAGCCACTGGGAAGACTCCTGGTTTTCCGTTTATTTACAAAAACAAGTCATATCCAGGTTAAATAATTATAGGGAATTGCCAGAAGTATTCTGTGTGGTGAACATAAGAAGGAAAAGAAAGTGTGTATGTGCATTTCTGCTTCATGTTTTGTGAGAGATATATTAAAAACTTACCAGTTATCAAAGGTTGGTGTTTTAAGATACTGTCTCACCTCTTCAGAAACCTCCAGAGGACTACAGAAAGTAAATCAGAAGCAATTCTTTTATTTCTTTTGTGCATATTTGATTCTTTCAAAAATGCAATTGCATATTACACCCTTCCACATAAGAGACGGGAATGTCACCTCATTTGGAGGAACTTTTCCCTGACGTGCTCACACTCCTCACGGGTCTTGCGCAGGGTTCTTTTATGGTAGAAAGGGGAGGGCTTGTGGGTGCCTTCTGACATGTCCTTAAACAATCCCAACCAGCTCAGGTGCTCAACACTCTACAGAGAAAGACATCATGTTATAGGGCTTGACATATGAATGTACTTGAAAACTTTCCTTTATTTAATATATTTACTGGTCAAAGAAAAAAAAAAAGAAGAAGAAAGATGGTAAGACCAAAATCCAAAAGTTTGGAAAAATTAACATTTTTTAAATGTTTTTTAAAGAAATCTCTTATGCTCACAAAGGCTGCATTTATTTGATCAAAAATACACTAAAACTGTAATATTGTGAAATGTTATTAAAAACTTTAAATTATTATTTTCTATTTTAATATATGGTCAAATGTCATTTATTTTTGTGACGGCAAAGCTGAATTTTCAGCAGCCATTACTACAGTCTTCAGTGTCACATGATCCTTCAGAAATCATTCTAATATACTGATTTGGTGCTCAATTATTATAAATTATTATTGGTGCTCAAATATTAACAACGGTTCTTATTATTATCAATGTTGAAAACAATTTTGGCTGTTTAATATTTTTGTAGAAACTGTTCTCTAATCATACTCTATTCTTTGATGAATAGAAAGTTTATATATTATACTGAATTGTTTGGCTGGCAAAGATGATGCATGTATGTGAATTGTATATATTTTTTTAATTTCAAATGTGAAATTCTTTAAATTAAATGTATTAAATGTAAAAAAAATAAAAAAATTATATATATATATATATATATATATATATATATATACATGCTGTTTAAATATGTTTTACTGTCAATTTTGATCATTTGAGTCCATCCTTGCTTCAACAAAAATATTAAGCTATAGATGGAATCCATTAAATTCCCTTAATGGTGCAGATGGAAAATCTCAGACACAGTAGTTCAGCATTCATACCTCCAGTTTCTCTCTGAATGACTCCACCTGTCTCTTCATCTCATACACAATGACAGGAGTCTCTGCTGCTTCAGTTAGGATTCTTTTCTCCAGGCTCTGTAACCTGTTTAAAAATAATTTGATTGGATCATTATTATCATGTATTTTGGGATAAAATAAGAGCCAAACTTTGTGGCACATATAAAATGTACTACAAGCAATTTTGTGAACCCCAAAACCCCGCTCTCTCATCAAAACCCCATCCTTAAAGACACATCAGCCAACCAGTTCAGTAATAATGAATGTGCAAAATGATTGACAGGCAGAGGATCTCTCTGATTGGCTAGTTTTCTGACTGCTAAAAGCCACAGGCCACCATGACTCTTCTTATGCTACCATCACAGACAGGTGTGATTTCTTATGCTGTGATTTCTGTAAGGTAGTATAGGTGTTTTATGCATGCATGCTACTTTTATGGCTATTAAATATTACCAAAAATTAAAATTCTGTCACTCTAAGTAATTTGTCATACAGAGAGTGTGCCTTTCAAATATCTCCCAACCTTACCTTTTCTCCATAGAAGAGAGGTCAAATCCCAGAGCAACAACCAGATCTGAGCCTAGAAGATAGAGTTCAACATGATCCAAATATAGAGGTTATGTGTGGCATCTATCACATTATGTTTATTCATAGGTTTATCAGTACAGTAGCTCTCTAGTGCTAAAGTGGAGAATACCTAACAGCTCACTGTTACAGTCTGCAGCGACCACTTCCAGTTTATAGCAGGAGTGAGGACTATTTGGGGCCAGCTGAGGGGAAATATTAATGATATTGCCTTTAGTATTATAGAGTTTTAGGATGTCATGAGGTCCTGCCTCAGCTGCTGCTCGGAAAAGATCTGAGTGCTACTGCCATCCCGGTGGCATTAGGAAAATGGTGCACAGCGGGCACATGCATTTACAATAACCATCTGGCAGGCTGGTTTTAAGGGTTACATCAATGAAAGGGTTACACTATAACATCAAGAGTGAGAAAAACACACACACACACACACACACACACACACACACACACACACACACACACACACACACACATTTTCATTAATGTGGCAGATATAATTCATCATCACATTTCTCATTCTCGTAACTGAGGTACATGGAAATTTCCTCAAGTCATGCAATTAAAGCACTTTATTATGTGTGACTTGTATTGAATATGCCATATGTTTCCTTTAGGGCACTGCTTGGCACTTGAAGACTAACTGACTGTCTGCACCACCTGTGACTCAAGATGGCAAACTGAAGTATGACAGTTTATTTGTTTCTGACTCACAAGCTGTGACTACAAATTCACCCATGCACCCATGAGTCAATATGGAAGATAAAAAGTTAATTAGCAGTCTGATAGTTCTCTAGAGAATTGGAGTCTCATATAAAAAAGAAAGATTAAAAAATAAGATCATCATCTGAGCATCCCTTATGTTGTATTAGCTGTCCAGGTCAACAGAATAGCTCTTCATATGGGCTCGCTGTAATTGAGAGGACTTGATTAAAGAAGCCTGGCTGTTGTCATTGCCCTTGAGAATGAGAAGAGTCCTCAAGCTTGTTTTCAGCAGAATAAAAGCTAATGAGGGCAGAGAGCCAATTTGGTCATAACAAAAACTCCTTTTCATATAAGAAATATAAGAATAATTTCATATAAGAAATTCTATTTGATGTTGATACACGAATTAAAGCTGCTGTCATTCATAGAGCAAGACTGCTTTTACAAACCACTTTTTATCTGATGATCTGTATGATATAAAAATAATTACTATATAATACTTAAATTTTATATATTGAATAATTTATGTTAATTGAATACTTTTTAAATAAAATGTATAACATTGTTTTTATAAAATGTTTTTGGTGTGCTGTCCTTTGAAGCACACATAGAAATATAACCCAAAGTCTTGTAGTTTATTGAAATGAGATGAATGCTGAACTGTTGAGCGAATAATAATAACAATAATAATAAATTCATTAAATTCTAGTTAGACTAGGAGAAATATATTTGAGACAATCCTTACCTTTAACATCTTGTGCAGGACAGTCAATGGGAAACTCAGCTTGTTCTGGTCTTCCATTCACGGTAAAATAAATTATGTTAGTTGCCATGACAGGTAATAATAATCTGTTGCGCCCTCACCTTTGCTGATCGATGTGTCCAGTGTTACATCAGTGATTCAGCCTATCATCCATTCAAAACCCCGCCCCGTTTTTAAACCATCTCTGTGGGGTCCACCCCCTTCATCCTCAACCCTGCTCTGTATTTCTGTTAATATGGATACAAGCAAATGTTTCCTTAAATTTATCTTGAAATGTATTAATTTTGCACCTGATTTAATTTTTTATGTATTTTAAATTAATCTAGTCCTTGTTAACAACTAGTGTTAATAATGTTTTTTCTTTCTTTCACATTTTAAATCAGTGCATTTTCTGCAGTTAGTAAAACGATGAACAAGCATGAACAAGCGAACACAGTAAAACCGCACTGGAAGTCAGGCAAGTGTGTTAACCATAATAAAGTTTCAGTGTTATTTAGTTAGTATTTTTATTCATGTATATGTGAAAAATATTAATTCATTAAAACATTACTATAAAACAGCAACCTATATCATAAGAATAATGGGAAAAGAGAAATTAATAAGTAAGAAATGATTATTTTTTTTAAATGCTGTAGATATAGCGGACTTTTATTTTGAATTGTATTCTTGAACCTTTGCAGTTAATAGATGGCAGAAATATTGGGAAGAAGAAAGAACAGGGAGATGGTTTTATAGCATTCAAAGAGTTGTTGGTAAGTACAGAGTAACAGGAAGAAATAGACATGAGGAAACTATAACCTCAAGGCTTAGATTTGGCCATACTGCTCTTAATAGGAAAATAAAGAAAAACTTAATTTTATGAACATTTTGGGGAATAAATCAGGGGATAAAAACTTTCAATTTTTAATGCGTTATTTAAAGGACACGGGATTATATAATAGAATTTAGTGAAGAGTACGGTCCTGATCCACACTCCTAATCAGTAGGTGGCGGTAATGCACCTAAAAGTTGTATGCCATCCGCCATTAAACACCAAGAAGAAGAAGAAGAAGAAGAACCCTTGCAGTTTCCTGAAAGAAGCGCAACAACGTGGTTTTAGGAGAGGTAGTACGACACACGTCCAAAACGTATAGCTATATTTATTTTATCAATTTTATATTTAATAATGATAGAAGGCAAATCATCAGAGAAGCCGGCGAAAAACCTGCTGGCTCTGAATCCAAAGGAAGATGCAGAGTTTCAGAAGACGGTTCAGCAAGTAAAGAAACGTCCTAAAACGGTATGACGCGTGGCCATGTGGCTCCAGTTTAGCCTGACCATCATTTAGCTTCACCTTGAAACATGGTTTCAGCTAAATTTGACATTTAATTAGTTGTCATTAATAGCCATTAGGGTTATTTGGATTGACGAATTCTTATTCGACACTAATTTGCTCTATAAAGCTTGCACTTTGTTCAGTTGTTGTGTGTGTTTAACGTTAGCTTACTAGCATTTTTTTTTCTGAATGTGATATTAATTATGATTTCCCCCTCAGGGTCAGCCGCTTTCTCCTGGAGTACTCTATGCTGGTCATCTGCCTCGAGGATTGTTTGAACCTCAATTAAAATCTTACTTTGGACAGTTTGGCAAAGTCACTCGAACAAGAGTTTCCAGGAGTAAAAAGGTACGACGTGCTTGTAGTCGTATTTTACGCGTTTTACAATCAATTGGGTTAGACGAGCATTGTTTTGTCACACAATGACTTTATAAGTTATGTAGAAAGAGGTAAATATTAGTGGCTGAATACAAATCCTAACGGGATTCTGATGCAATTTTAATGATTATTTGAAAAAAATATGAGAATTCTAATAGGAATTCTATAATGAAACATAAGATTCTCTTGGATTAATTCAGTTAACCCCATAAGGTCCTGTTTGATTCTAAGAGGATTCTTAAAGAAAACTTGATCCCTTTGGGGTTGCTTCCAAATATTAATAGAAATTCCATTAGAATTTGGGGTGTTTACTTTTATGTAAATTTAATTTATCTGTTTAACATAACATAACGGCACAGCCTGAAAATTATCTTTGGCATTTGTTGCCTTGGATAAGATAATTGTGCAGACAGTAATTAGGTACATTTTTGCTTATTGCCAACTCCATTTTGTTGTACAATGAAACCAATGTGCCAACACTATAAACACACGAGTCATACCAGTAAACAATATCTTGCTTTGAAGATTTCAATGCAAGTATTATTAAACTTTCCTCTTTCGCAGACCGGACGGAGCAAAGGCCATGGATTTGTGGAGTGATGAGGTTGCTAAGATTGCGGCTGAGACCATGAACAACTAACTACCTTATAAGAGAACGGCTCATATAGTGTAAGTTGAGAGTAAAAGGTTTTGCATGTTTTCTTACATAATGTTGTCTAAACTTTACTGTGTTTTGTCCTGTTCAGGTCAAGTGGTGCCACCTGATAAGGTCCATGAAAAGCTATTTGTTGGTTCCAGGTTGGGCTTCAAGAAGCCAAAACAGCCTGCAGTTGCTCGTTATAACAAACAGCATGCTGAAGATGATCTGAAGAAAGTTGGTACAAAGCTTTTAAGCAAAGAGTCTAAGCTACGCAAGAGATTGGCGGCAAAGGGCATGGACTATGATTTCCCAGGATTTGTAAGTACTATTTTGTAATTTCTAATCAGAACATTTAAAGAAATAGATGACCCAAAAATGAAAATTTTCTGAAAATGTACTCACCCTTAGGCTATACAAGATATAGAAGAGTTTGTTTCTTCATCTGAACAGATTTAGATAAGTTTACCATTACATACTCTGCAGTGAATGGGTGCCATCAGAATGAAAGTCCAAACAGTTGATAAAAACATAATAATCCACATGACTCAGTCCATTTAATCTCATGTGAACTGAAAAGCTGCATGTTTGTAACAGATTCCCCATTAAGTCGTTTTACCTCATATTTTGACCATCACTTCTAGTCAAAATATGAGTCCATAATAACACTTCCTCCATTGAAATAGTTCATCCAGGATCCATTGGTGAACAAGGGCAGTAATGCTAAATTTCTCTCAATCTGTTCCAAAGAAGAAAGAAACTCATGTGTATCTTGGATGGTAGAGTAAATTTTCAGCAAATTGTTATTGTTGCGTGAACTATTCCTTTAAGATGCTTATTGTTGTATTTTAGTGTGACCAGTTTGTCTTTTTTTTTCTTTTCTTTCAGGCAGCTCCGATTCCAGCCAAGAAAGCCCAATTAGAAGCCAATGTTTCAGTATGCAGCGAGGTAAGCTCAAGAATTTCATTAAAAAAAAAAAAAAAAAGTTCTTTTGTTTTTTTTTTTACTTTTTTTGCACTGATTTTGTGGGCATATGCTTGGCACAGACTGAAAATTACCTCAGTTGTACCTGTTGACTGAAGTAAGATAACTGTGCCGACAGAAACTGGTACATTTTAAGCTTATTGTCAGTCACTGTGACTCACAATGAAACCCATGTGCCAACAGTTACTGCAGAAAATGACTAGGATATGTAGTCTTGCGCTACTAGTGTTTAAAAGACTATTTGTTTGCATTTAGGATGTCACTCCAGTGTGCACCCCATCAGTTTTGGAGAGGAGGAAGTCGATCAGAGTTGAGGACGATGATGTTGATGACGAAATAGTCATCAAAGCCAAATCCGTTTCAGAAAACAGCGAGAATGTGGAAGATAGCAAGGAAGAGTCAGGTGAAGATGAAGAGGAGGAAGGTGAAGAGGAGCATACGGCTTAAAAGGAGAATTTAATGACTAATAAAAAGACTTAAATCCCTGTTTTAGAAGGGACACCGGACTCACTTTTTTTTCAGAGCCATTTGTATGCGTTTAGTTCTCAGTCCTGCCCAGCGGCTGGAGAAGAGGATCACACACGTTATTCTGATTATCAGGCATCTGTTTTGAGGTGTGTTTTATGCAGATGTACCGATTGCCTTTATGGGGTACGATGTGGTCTCTGAGAGGTTGCTAAAGTCCAATTGACTGTGTAATACACAAAGTATATGTTATGTTACATTAAAAAATGTGTTAATTTGAAAATTAAATGGTAGGATGGATATCATTGTATTTCTGACACAATATTTTGTTATGTATTGTCTAGTACTATCTTCAGATATGCAGCTTTGCAATATTGGTCAAACATGTGCTTAACCCATAAAAGTGGATCAAATACATTTCTTTGTTGCTTTTTAAAGCTATTTTGACTGAACAATGGTTTGTGTAAATTGTCGCGGTGAAGATGCTTACATATAAGTTAAGTATCATGGAAGAAATAAAGATCAATGAAAATGCATTTATCAGAATAACCATTAGATGGAGCCAGGAGTCGTTTTCCATTGCTGTAGGTTTAATGTTATGGCAAGCCATTTTAAAATTTGTTGCTTAAAATGTACTGATGTCTGCTTTCGTACGTATATTTTACATATTATTTTAAGTGAACCAACAGTAATATGTTAATTGCAGTAATAATGCTATTAATTGTTTAAACTAGTTAAACAGGTTCTGTATTATTATCCTGTATATATTCTGTATATACTATCCCAACTATTTTGTGGGTAATGGCAAATGTCAAAATGCCCAAATGAGTTGAACTATTCTTTCTAGTTTGTACTGTTGCTGATTCCTTTTCAAATTTTACTAGTGCAATATAGAGAAATATGTATCTCGCTAGTTTTTTCTTTTTAATTTGTGATATGTAACGACTAATCATGATGACTTCTAGATAATGACAATTCTATATAGAAGTCTTATTAGGAAAATTAAAAATGTTTACCAGAATCAACTTGAATACATATTTGATTAATTTCTAATAACTAATATCTGTTAAAGGAATAGTTCACCCAAAAATGAAAATTCTGTCATTAATTACTCACCCTCATGTTTCAAACCCGTAAGACCTTTGTTCATCTTCGAAACACAAATTAAGATATTTTTGATGGAATCTGAGAGCTGGCTGAACCTGCATAGACACCAATACAACTGAAATGTTCCCAAGTCCAGAGACGTAGCAAGGAGATCAGATAAATAATCCATGTGACATCAGGGGTTCAACCGTAATTTTACGAAGCTACGAGAATACTTTTTGTGCGCAAAAGAAAAAAAAAAAAGACTTTATTCAACAATTCGTCTCCGCATCACCTTGCTACGTTTCTGGACTTGGGTCAGACAGCTCTCAGATTCCATCAAAAATATCTTAATTTGTGTTCCGAAGATGAATAAAGGTCTTACGGGTTTGAAACGACATGAGGGTGAGTAATTAATGACAGAATTTTCATTTTTGGGTGAACTAACCCTTTAACTAGTTAAAAAAAAATAATAAAAAAACATGCTATTTGCTATTGGAGTACTTGCTAGCTATTAAAAATAAATGGGCTATTAGTGTAAAATAGATGGTAGTTTTTAGGAATCAATGTTAAAATGGCCTGCCATGAAGGTTCATTGTTTTAGATACACAAGGGAAAATGACCATGTGGCGGCGAGACAGGGAAACGAGGATTTCTAATATGCGGATGTAAACAAAATATCTGTTGGCTACTGTGTAGAATAACATTCTAAATATAAGGGCAGAAAATTGGCCCTGTTTTACAAAAACAGTATGTACAAAAAAACGTACATACTGTACATACACAATAAAGGGGCACAAGCTAGCCGTTGTTTTCCAACGGCTACCAATAATAATGGCATAAAATGAAATTTTTTTGTCATGGTGCAACGTTTGTACCAAAACTGTAAACGGATTTTACATTAAATCAGTAACAGAACAGAGGTGTTTAGCGCATGCGCATTCCGGCTCCATCATTGTGTCCACGGGAGCAGCACTAGAGAGACAAACCTCGCTTACCTTTAATAACCTAACCCGTGTCATTTCACACTGAAACCACCGCTACATTCGGCAAAGTGAGTATATAACCTAATATTTAAACCAAGCTTGTCGTTTCCATGTACTGGTTTTGTGTAAATCGCCGGAGTTTTGACAGTTTATTCGATCGGCTAACGTTAGTGAGAGCTAGCATAGCTGGCTAGATGATCAATGAAAAAGAAACAAATTAATGCAGACATAATCTGAAAACACTTGGTTATGAAATACGGATACGGATTTCATCGTAAGAGGGTTGATATTTGAAATTTTAACGTATATAAAAGAAAATGAGGTATTTTAAAGCCTGGACTCCGGAGTAAAGCATCTCATTTACGTTAGGGTGAATGACAGTCACTACGTGAGCATCAGTGTAAATTTACATTGATGCACATGTAGGATCTGTCATTCACTTGAAATGATATTCTGTTTGAGTATTGTTTTGATTATTAATTTTCTTTCGTTCTGTTGTATATACACGGTGATTTTGCTTTGAATTACAATCAGATTTCCACCCAGTACTGGTGAGTATATAGGTTATTGCATGATCCAGCAGGTTAGTTGATTTACTAGTTATCTAGTTTTAAAACCGATTGACGTGTTAATGCTTAAACACTAAAGAGATGAATTAATCTGCGATCAGAGGCCTGTGATGTGTGGTTTGAGGGAGGCACAGGTAAATCATGCTTGTCCTGAATTATCATGTAATGTGTGTGTTTTACATTAAGGTGACATAACAGTTCAGTAATGATGAACTCCTGTGATTCTGATCTATGGAGAATTAGGAGACTAGGCAAGGTCTCCTGCCACCATTGTGTACTGTAGCTTAGATACGTGAAGTACAGGCACAGACTTGTAGTGTAAACTAAGCAAAAGCAAAACCGCTTGTGACAGTAAAGACAGAAAACACACATACAGTGAGGACCAAATGTCTGAGATCAATGGTGAATCATTCTATTTTACATTTTTCTAAATTTTATCATAATATTATATGCACAATTTGCATGGAAAAAGTTGAATTTAAAAGAGATTTGTTAAACATTTGTTTGTATTTGTTTAGATGAGCTGCATGAGTTAGATTGTGCAAAACCTAATGATCAATTTTATTTGACAGTGTTATAAAGAGCATTTGTGTGCAGAATCTTAAATATTTCTTATTTATTTTACTTTGAAAATGTTCTTCATTTTTTAAATTAATTTATTATTATTATTGTATTTATTGTATTTACATTATTTTGGGATCCTGAAACCGGTATTTTTGTACTCCACTGTACACACTAATGTACCTCAGTGACCAGGACATTCATAATTTTTAATAGGGCTGTGCGATATTGAAAAAAAAAAAGCGATATGAGATGGCATGCTAAATATTATAAATAAATGTGGTATTCAATATGCGATACAATATTTATTTTTCTAAAATCAATTTAAATTATATTAAAATATATTTTAAAAAATTACATAACCAACATATGTTTCACATTATTTCAGGGAAAAGAAAGCATCACTACAACTTCTGAAAGTGAACAGCCATGTTTTACTGTTGCATAAAATAAATCGTGCATTGTTAAAGGGGTCATATGATGTTGCTAAAAAGAACATTATGTGTATTTGGTGTAATGAAATGTGTTCATGCGGTTTAAGGTTAAAAAAACACATTATTTTCCACATACTGTACATTATTGTTTCCCCTCTATGCCTCGCCTTTTTGAAACGCGTCGATTTTTACAAAGCTCATCGGTCTGTGATTGGCCGAATACCTCAAGCGTGTGATGGAAATGTTACGCCCCCTCTTTTGGAAGGCCAAACAAAGTAGTTTCGCTTTCACAACGAAACACATGGCGGGCTAGAGTGAGCGGAGGCCTGCGGGCTTGAGAACAGTGCGGCTGGCGGATTCGACAAAGAAGCGGCCGGCAGGCTTGCAGCAACCACATGTGACGACCCCGGGCTGGACTCCGTTTCATCCACGGTGAACGC